CACCCACTCTGTCATCATGTGACCAGAAGTCTAACCTGAATGACCAAAGAGGTACTGTTCCATCCCAACAAGATAGACGTGCATTAATTTCTTCAGATCGTTCCCGTGTTGTTACCGGATTTTGCGCTTCGTACACAGACCTGTTCATTTGTTCAGTGATAATGGAAAATGCACAAAGAATTTCTTATGATGCAACTTTAATGTTAAAAGCGATCGGCTGAAGAGGAGGAAACAGAGCTGCAGCCCGTAAGCTGCATCAGCATGTTGATGATCAGGATCAGAGACACAAAAGCAGTCCAGTCTGGTACATGTTTTAATAAAAAAATTAAAATTCTTTCTATGTGACAACTTTCTGTGCCAGCAAATATGCATTTATATACCGGGATCTCATTTTAAAGTCACATTTGAACACGAAGGGGAGAAACAGAAAGGAGTCTTTCCCCCTCCCCTTTCCGTCCATGAGAGCACAGCGGTGGAGAAGTCGTCAGATTTATTTTTAAAGCAGTCAGTCAAGACTGGTACATTTTTTAATAAAAGTTTTAAAAAAAAATCAGTGTACAGTAAAAATGTTTAAATACCAGTACCTCATTTAAGCTTAAACAGGGGCATTAAACAGAGCGGAGACAAGAAGAAAAAAGAACAGGGAGGAGCCGTTCCTCATGAGCTCTGCTGAGGAGAATCACGTCAAATTTATTTAGAAAGTACATTTAACACAGTCGTTGTTACCAAAGGTGTTAAATAAATAAATTAAAAAAATTAAAAAATCAATGGTACTAATTTAATGAATATTTACTGCATTGTACAGGTACAATTGACTTCCGGTCACATGACCTAGATAAGACTGGGTTTTGCCGGTAAATAATTTAAAAATAATTTCAGTTGCATAGGTGTTTGACACTTCTGTCCAGTGATTACACTTAGATTATTGCGTTCATTTTGAAGGTATAATGGTTGTACCATAAGTCAGAAAGCGAAGCTTCATGAAGACTTGACGATCTTGCATTCTGAACATGTGTTGTATTCTGTGAATCTCCACCTGCTGGCTGACTCTTGTACTACAAGATAGCTGCACACAGTCGGAGCAGTCTTGGGGCACAGATTTTGACGAACGGTGGATGCCCGTGGCTAAATAACCAGTGTCTTATTTATGTACAAAATTATGAATTATGTTATATTTAATAAGTGCCGCTTAGAGACAGGTGCGTTCTAAAGTCAAAGAATTACGGTAATAAGAGTTGTCACAGGCATCTCAAACCCTCCTCAACTTAACTTCTGAAAATATAGAGCTAGAGCTGTACATTTTGACACCTCAGCAAGAGCACTCCTTATGTTCAGGTCCTACCACGCTAATGATAATTCTTTAAGTACTGGTCCAATTTGGCCCATCTTCATTTTGAAACTAAACTCCAGATTAAATGAAAAAAAAAATTGTGCACATGAACACAGGAACTTGCGCAAAAAGTCGTTTAAAAAAAACCTGGTGCAGTAAATATGGTCACGTGTCTCAGTTGTTGCAAACACTCAGAATTTGGTGAGACTTTAATGGAAAAAAAAACTGTTTTTACTGGCAATTTGGAGTCACTAACTAGTTCCCAACAGTTTCAGCCCAGTAAGATACATGCTTAAAAAGTTGGCTCATCAATCTCAACATAACGTTGCTATATTTATGTTTTGTAAATGAAAACTGTCCAAAACAAAACTAACTTCTTTATATGAGCATGCATCAGGATAACTTCTTTATATTACTCCAAAATATAAAGTTTTGGAGCAAAACTTTTGAACTACCACACAACAGTGCTCAGTTACACTTAAGGTTTGGCAGACTGCACAAGGAAGCATAAATTTAGTTTTAGATAATTAATGTTTTTTTAAGAGATAGTTCTTAAATTTCAAGTTAAATACTAATAAGTCCCATTATTTGGTGAATTTTAAGTAAGCACATCATGACCAGAATTGAAAACCAGAAATAAAAAAAAACTCAAAGACAGCCCTTGTCATATGAGAAACTGGGATTTGATGAATGTCAGGCGAAAGGCCCCGTCAATGTTTGGTATTCAGTCTGACCTTGAGCTTACCATTACAGTCCAACCAGGAGAGCGGCTCTTCCACAGAACTACAACACCTCACAGTTAAAAGACTTAGCCCTTTGACAAGCAAACATGTTCAGGTTCACAAATAAAACACAGCTGTATCTGTTATTCCAGTTGTACCCAAAACTGCCATCAGTCCCCATCCCATCCTCCCATAAACCAGACTATTACTCAACCAATGACATGCATCAAACAAGCACGCGCGCACACACACACACACACACACACACAAACCAAACAAGCACCAAACTACTACATGCAAACTGTGCACCTGTAAACAGCACTTTAAAAACTTGGATGGTGTGAACATTATTGTCCCATTAGATAATGGTCACTTGTCAAGGTGATAGTAAAAATTTGCGCCCCAAGAAAAGTTGATCAATAATAAATAAAACCCTCTGTGTCATGTGTTGTTGTGCTGTTATGAGTGTATTTATATATAGATTCAGTGATCTAAAAAAGGTACTCACAGTGCATGTCTCGTTCATGCTCATACTCAATGAAAGCATAGCCACGAGGCTTCCCCGTCTTCTTGTTGTAGACTATATAAATCTGAAAGAAAAGTATGGAGACAATTAGCCTAATGTCACATTTCTCTAACTGTACTTCACATTTGGCTCAAGCAATCAAAACCACTTTTAAAATCTTGGAGAGGACACAAATGGTTAATATCCTAGATGTAAGTTATAAACACGTTTAGTAAGCTCTAGCCCAGGGGTGCCCAATACATCAATCTCAAAGGCATTATGGGTAGATGGCATGGCATTAAAAAATAGACAGCCCATCATCCATGAAATTTGTCTCTTGATTGACAAACAGGGCAGCCAGTCTGAGGCCCCGTTTACACGACGTGAAATGTTCGGCAGTTCATTTACAGACAACAGCCTCGTTCTCTCTGAAACTGAAGGTTTCTGAATCCAGGTCTCAGAGTGGAGACTTTCAGGGGAACCACCCCACAGAGGTGAATGCTCCTAGTGTGAAGTCCTACATGTGCACACTAGGCGGCTGCAGTCCAATGTTTTTCTGCACTAACAACAGTTATAATAAATGACAGAGCAGAGTGTTTTTGTGCTGCTCACCCTTTCAGCATATAGGAGCAAAACTAATAAACATAAAAACAATAAATAACAATAAAACTAATTTGGGGTGGCTGTGGCTGAGAGGTTAGAGCAGTCATCCTCCAATGCAAGAGTTGGGAGTTCGAACCCATCAGCAGTCACATGCCGAAGTGTCCATGGGCAAGACACTGAACCCCTCATCTCCTCCGATGTGTGTCCCATCGGTGTATGAATGTGATAAAGCTCTGATTAGTCTCTTTAGAATGATTTGTTCAATTAGCTTTGTAGAGATCTAGTATAGAGCTGTATGAATGGGTAAATGAGGCACAGATTGTAGTGTAAAGCGTTTTGAGTATCTTGATTAGATAGAAAGGCGCTATACAAGTACAGTCCATTTACCATTTAATAAAATCCAGGGTCCAAAGAAACGTTAGTGTGTTCACCATTTTAACTGTGCTCATTCAGACGCGCATGTGCAATGAATGAATGATTATAAGAATTTTCTTTTTCTCTCTGCACCCTTTTCATTCAATGTTTTTTTTCCCTTTTTGATGAATTTGTTTTGTTTCTTTTCATCTTTTAAATGAATGAATAAATAAAAAAATAAAAATGCAGCTGAGCCCTGCATCACGGTTGCCAGATATATGTAAAATGTTTAATTTACCCCCTACTTTTCTGTGCACATGTTCAACAACACACACTTCATCTTAGAATATCTTTACTCAGCACAAATGACAGTTGAGGTCAAAGTACTATCATTTTAAAGCCACACTACTATAGCTCAATTTCTTATCTGGCAACCCGACTGACATGGAAACTACAATCTTTGGGTGTAAACCCGCTCATTTTTGTTCATTACCCCCAATAAACACTGAAAAAAAACATTGTTTCCAGAGGTTGTTCTCGTGTAAACGGGTCCTTATAGCAGGAAGATCACTGACAAAAGTAGCTTGCATGATGAAAAGGTCTGGGCACCCCTGATCATCTAGGGTCATTATACATTGAATGTGTCCAACATACACTGAGGAAACATCTGATATAAGTTACAGATACATTAGAAGAAAGTTGCTCATAGATTAGAAATAAGTTGCTAGTTCCCTTTATCTGAATAGAGTCTGTTAGCATGGAGCAGGAGGACAGCATGATTCAGCCTGCTCCTTCATTGTTAAAAGTCGGTGTAAAGTCATTTCAGATCCTACAATGTTCCGGGGGAAGACAGCTTGACAAGTGCACAGTTGTTTGCACGAAGTGTAAAATAAAATTACAGTACAGTATTTTGGAAATACGACGAATGCATGGAAGGAAGATGAAAGCGAAGCAGCAAACCAGCAAACAAACTTCCAGCTAATTCCCCAAAGGCTGAGAAGATTTCCCTCTCCTTCTATATCACAAAGGATTTACGAGCAAGCAGCTCAGTGGAAGGTGAGGGGTTTAGGTTTATTTTAAATATGTTGGACCCAATGTACGTTATTCCTTCACGTAGCTTTTTTTTTAATTGACAAAGCTGCACCACATCTCCACCATGATACAAAACTAAAGTGGTAGAAGCTCTGATTAATGCCACCAGCTGCAGCTCAATGCTAACTGTTTTTTCACATTATAGTAAAACTTATAGACAAGTTATACAACAAACTTAACGTAATTTGTCTTTTTAACAAGTTGAAGAGGCCAGATGAGACATCACCTGGAGCCAGTTCTAAATGATACAACTTATTTTAGTTTATAAATTATTACAGTTCAGAAGTATTTTTGTGCAGACTTGCACAGGTTTTGAAATTTTATTAAATATTTACCAAATATGAATCAATATGGTTGAAAATGGAGCAAATGTTAGATCAATATGGTTTTAAAAAAATTGTTAAGTCTGCATTTTATTTTGAGTTAAAGGTTAATGTACTATGGTAGGCTGAAATCTGTTTATTTTTGTATTTTGAATTATTTGTCTGTGATGGACTGGAGACCTGTCCAGGTGTCCCCCGCCTTTTGCACAGTGATGGCTGGATATGGCACCAGTGACCCCCATGACCAGTAAAGGAAGAAGTGGGTAAAAATAATGAATGATTGTTGGATGAATTAAAGATTTGTTCCTAGTTTTATTTATTTTAGACAAAGCCAGGCAGCTAAGCTAACCTAATACTGGTAATTTAAGTTACAGAATTTTATGCACTCCTATAATTGTTTCCATTTTTGGTACGAATATAAAATGATGCAAAAAGATTTGATACAGTGAAGAAGCTAAAATTGTCGTTTTAAATAAATGTTTTATTTGTTTACATTGTTCATTCTTTTCATCTCGTTAGTTACATACACTACTTTGCCAAAAGTATTCGCTCACCTGCCTTGACTCACATATGAGCTTAAGGTTGTTTTCACACCTGATAGCCCGGTAGACTCGGTTCAGGACCAATATTCATAACATTTTGTTTACATTTGAGCTGTTGCATTTGCATTCACACTGCACTGTGCAGTCGAGCCAACCTGTTGAGCCAACCTGTTCCCCCATGGCCTGTGGTGGTGCTGCACCAAGAACTACAGAAAGAAACGACACAAAAACCACTGAAGAAGACACTTCTTCTGGAAATAAAAACAAAAAAAACGGAGTGGCGTCAAGTTTCATCGGTTTAAGGAGTTCTATCATTTTTCAACAATGGACTCAGCATGAGTGGAAGATGAGGCAGAAGACCATGGAGAATGTTTTTCACACAAGGCAAGCTGACAGCTCCATATGAGGCAAGAGAAATGTGTGTTTGTTTGCCTTGTGTTGTAGTCCTCTTCCTGCTTGCGGAGCAGTGCCCGTTCTGCTTATATTCACACTGTACTGAACCGCGCTCGAGTTTACTTCTACAGGATCGAGACCTAGTTCCCTTTCGGTCGGTACACTCGGTACAACACAGTAGTATGGGGATTGCGCCCTTGCGAGACCAACCTGAAGAAGTTTCTTTCAACACGCCTGTCAAGGCAAATGAGACTGCTGCATATACAAGAGGCCCCGCCCTCCTGGCCTATAAATATGCAGCGTTGTCTCATTTCCCTAATCTTTTTGCACTTCACCTCGCTTTAACCTGATTGCAGGTCCCCTGTATGTGACTCAACTGTCCAACTGGAGATGAGCTCGCTCCCTACCTAGGGCGTCACTACAAGGTTCTGATCCTGCTTACTGCCCGTTTAGCCCAGCTGACGGTCATCTTTTCCGCTTGCTGTTTTTCCTAGCCTGTTTAGCTTGCTAACGGGTCTGGGTCACTCTTCCCCGTTTAGCCTTACAGCTAAGGTATAAGTAAGTATAGAACAGCACAGCTAAATTTCTGCCTGTTTAGCTTGCTAACAAGTAAAAGTTTACTCTCCTTCTCGGTCGCTAACATGGCGTCGGAAAAGAGCAAGAGAAAAATCAAAGCCTCTAGCAAAGCTAGCAAGGCGAGAATCCCAGGTTCACATTCGTGTCCCAAGCGCATGTGGATTTTTTCTTTCGGAAGCGGACACCCACGAAGCTTGCCCGGTGTGTCTCAGCATGTTGCATGCTAAGGCAGCACTTGCTAACCCGGAGTCATGTGCGCATTGTAGCTGAATCCGAAATTCGACCCTGGAGAAAAGCGTGGAATTCCTGACAAAAACGTTAGGAAATTCAACCACAGCAAGAGACCCGCTGTTGTCTGAGTCTCTCAGACCGACCACAGAGCTGGAGTCCGATGAGATGGAGGACAGCACCATGGCATTGTCCTGGGGTGAGCAGATGGATGGGCTGCTTCCCATGGATGACACAGATGAAAACCAGGTCAAGTTCGACATGAAGGACTTGTTGCTGGCGGACGAGATCTCTCCGACAGCCTCAGGCGGCCTCTCTGAGGATGAAGCAGGTGCGGATGAGGAAGCAGAGGAGTTTTCACAAGAAACCGCAGCGGCACCTGTTGAAGCGGATGGATCCACGCCATCCCTGTTTGAGCTGTGCCGCACAGCGGCCGAGTCTCTTAAGGTGCTGTAGTGAGATAGGTCGGTTAGCTTCGGAGCTACACTACACGTTATAATATCTGGACTAGTTCAAGTACCTGATATTATACTTAATTTAAACGGGTTCTCTCTTTTTTGAGCTACTTGACAGATATGTGACAGAGATCAGTGACGTGAGACGTTAATTTTCTTTGACCCATCAAAATGAACGTGGTCATTTATTAACAAAATCAAAATTTAACATCAAACATTTACATTAATTTGGCAAAATTGATTACAATAACAAGCTTAATTGATGAGCTTTACAATTAGAAAACCATACGGCCATGGTTTCACTTGCAGCTTTTAAACCAACAGACATTTCTGAAAATATCTGGATAATTTACTGGCAAGATAGAAGAGTTTTAAAGATGGGAAATGAAGGAGTTTAAATGGAGAGGGAAAGATGGATGAGGGAATATGTCTATTATAACCAGAAACGACACGCTCCTTTGGACCCAGCTTAACCCACGGTACACTTCGCAGTTGAAGATCGACTCTTTACCTTTGCAG